CATTACGTCCGCAATTTTCTCTAATGAATGAGGCAATTTAGGAGAAAACCAATCAAAAACTTCCCCCAAATTGAAGATTTTTCCACGAAACATGTGGCAACATTCATGTGCCCAAACGGCGCGGCGTTCTTCTCAATCACGGTAGCGCAGTCACAGAGAACGGGCAAACAGTAGCGAAGCGTGCATCATCAGCTATCGATTTTTACCCATTTGAAGTAATGGTAAAGAATCGATTTTCGAGGTATACCCCGATAATCGATTCTTTTCCGTAGATTCAAATGGCAAATCGATCGATTCATCGCGAAGCTCGACACCCCAGCGTCACGGGGACCGGGCAAACCAATCAAACCTGTCTTTTATGAGCTTTCAGGTTGTCAAGCTGATAAGGTTCATTTCTTACGGGCTCTGCGGGACGAAAAATGAGGTGGACTTTCTTGGAGCTACCGAGATAAGAGGGAATATTTTTGTCGTGGAATGTTCGTGATTGTTGCTTTCGTCGGAGGAATTGAATTTGCCCTCGCCCGAGTCAAAATTCAGACGGTTGTTGGTGACAGTTACACGAGCGTGACTTTCTTTAAGTGTTCAGAATTGGCGGTGCAACTAGAGAAATACGTACCTCAGTTCGCAACGTCGAAGACTTCCGGTAAAATTGGACTTGCAAGCGAAAATACCAATTTTCAATCATACCTAGTCCAACTCGCCGTCTTCCGAAGAAGAAACTTAACTTCATTACAAGGTTGCTAAATTGACTCAAATAATTCAATTTTTCACAAGAATAAATGAGCATAGTTTTCGTCGAAAATTTGTTTGATTTTTTCATGAGATCAAGACACAAAATTGGTGGAATTTTCAGTTTAAAATTCTCAAAATTTCCATGTAAAAACGCAAATTTCGTGGAAAAATCTGGCAACATTGAAATGTAGTTACGTTCATTCGTGAGAGAAAAGACGAACTGACTCGGGCTTCTTAGATCCGAGTTTTGTCTTTCGAATCGGAAAACGAAGGAAGGAAAGAAGAAGAGAAAGCACAGAAGGAATAAGAAAAATAATACTAAGTAAGAGAAGAGAGGGAGGAAAAAAGAGGAGGAGAAAGACGGAGATAAAGAATTATTCTTCTAACTCTTTTTCTCTCCCCTCTTCTATTTCCTTTGTTTTCCGTTTACCCCCTCCCTTCTTTCTTTTCTTCTTGTGCTCTACCTCTCGATTATTTACCATCACTGAAAAAAAAAGAATCTTAAATCTACCTCCAAGAAGTATTTTTTCTTAAATCAAGAATTTCGCTGCTTGATATAAACTACTTTTTTGCTTAACCCAAGCATTACTTTGCTTGTATATATGAGGACTTGTATGTAACAATGGCGGATGTGAAAAATTACCTTTTCGAAACAAGTTCAAAAAACTGTTTTGGCATCGAGAAAATTTTGAGAAAATACCTGAGATGTGATCTTCGAGATCTGTACATTACGTCAGAGTCGAACATATTAGATTTTTGCGTGACTGGAACAGCTTTTTAGGCGTATTTCGGAAAGGTAATTTTTTACATCCGCCATTGTTACGTATAAGGTCTCATATGTAGAAAAATTTAGCTTAAATCCAGATGAAAAAAATTCTTCGCGGCAAATTCAAGAATCATCATCCTTGAGCCAAGCACATTTTTTTTTTTTTTTTTTTTTTTTTTTTTTCTTTTTTCTTTTTTCCAGTGTATATAGCTTCAAATGAGGAATTATCGATAATCGATCATTCACGCCTCGCGTTCGCCACGGATTCGGTCGGAGAGGCCTGAAACTTGGCAGACTCGAGGCTGTAGACGCAGTGAATCAAGGCCTGGAGCGGCTCAATTCGTGTCAATGAAGTATTCAGCGATTGGAATTTTAAATATTTAATAACATTAACCGGAGAGGCAGAACCGGGGGTCGGAGCGGAATCGGGGTGAGTTCCGGATATTGAGCCTCTCTGAGCCGGTTACACTCCGGGGGTGGTNGGGGGGGGGGGGGGGGGGGGGGGGGTTAATCGGTCCGAAGTCAAGACTCGAGGGTCGGTCGGAGTTAGGAGGCTGGCTTGATCCAGACCGCAAGGACAACTTCACGACGAGGAAATAAGTTGTTAATGGAAGGGCGTTGCGAAGTTTGGCGTTGATGAATAAATTAGCCTCCTCTTCGGTGGAGCTTTGCCGAAAGCTGGCTTTTAATTAAAAATGAAGGGTACGAAAAATTAGACTACTCGATAAAATGAAACATAAAATAAAATGAGACATACCTCTATTAGGTATCAAATTATTAATCAATCATTTATAGTCCAACCCATAAGCCTAAACCAAGCAATCAAATAAATTAATATAACCTTTATATACTTCACTAGATAAGGGATTTGGAATGATCTATAATTGAAATATGAATCCAATAGCTTACATTAGGTTGAACCTTATCAATGCAAGAATTAATTAATTTTATAATGGCCGGATATAAACTGTTACAACAATCGATGATAATGTGGCGGTTTTCATTACATTAAAAAGTAATCGGGAACTATAAGGATTTTAAGGATAGATTTAGCAAGGGCCCCATTGATAGAGGTTGCATTCGTTCCTAAATCATTAATTTTGACCTCAACATTAAAATTTAAAAGCTTTGAAGTCAGGGTTTTCCTAAACTCGAAAATGTAAATGTTGATCTTCTTGAAAGTAGTACCAGGAGCATGATTTTTAAACTAATCATTATGCAATAACGAAATTGAATTTTACGGTTAATTTGAAGTTTGGAATGAGTAATTCATACCTGAGAACGTATTTTTCCCGGATGATCAAATTTACTATCGTCGCTTTCTATCGATCATGAGCATCATCACATCTAATTGGACGTATTTCTATTAAACAGAACTTTGTGCATTAAGACATGAGCCCTGAGACTCATAAGAATACATGCAGAACAGGGCTCACGTCATAATGCACATAGTTCTGTTTGACAGAAATGCGTCCAATTATACTTACTATTTAGTTAGAAAATGAGATTTTCGTCAAATTTAATCCGTCTGACCGGAAAGGTTTGTGAATTCCCACCCCTGCGCCACAAAGGAAGGATATAATCTTTACCAAACATCTATCAAGCTCTTTGCTGCCGGCATAAAACCGAGTCGCCTTCAATTTTCAGGGTAGGCAAAATGATCCAACCCAGAGCGCGAATAGTGGTATCTTCTCGTTGATATCCATACGATAAATGGAACTGCCTTCTACAAGGTGATCTAATCAAAAGTGAGCACTCATTTGTTTTCTGTAAATGAAAAAACCTCACTAATCAAGTACAGCGTAATGAACTAATGCATAGTTTAGCTTCTCCTCGAGTTTAAATATAAGATCTGCCCAAAAACCAAGCATCAATGCATACAAGTATTAGTGGAGATTTATCGTCCGAGGAATTTTACATACTATGCCTTAAGTGCATCTCGAATTACAATCGCTCATTTTTCGACGTAAACCTTTGAAATATAATTGTCTCATAATCAAGAAAAAAAGTTGGAAAAATTTCATCTACATTCCTGACAGATGCTATATTGCATATAAAATAGGTTTAGTTATCCATACATATTTTCCTGTGAAGAGTTCAGCAATTTTATCACTGTGTGCACTTGATTGTAAAAATTAATATTATTCCGTTCCCATATTCAAGATCGATGGAGCCAATTGAATCATAGGTCGAGTCAAATTAGACTTCAGCTTCGAGGCAATTAAAATAAATCAGAGTTAATGAGAGCCAATTAGTGTCATGTGGAGTCAATCACAGTTAAATGAACAGAAATATAGTTGACTTTGACCTGGAAGTAGAGTGAAAGTTGGCTCGATCATATATTCAATATAGAAACGGGATATGAATAATTGGATTGCATTTTGCGAAAAGGAACAAAAATTATTCCGATGCTGGTAAGATTGTGCAATTTTTTTACCTAGCAAATATAAACTAAACATCTAAACAAGTTTTATCGTTTTTCTCAATAAACTGTAAATTCAAGACAAAAATTACCCTCGTAAATTTAATGTTTTGCATGATTCCAGTAATTTCATTGCTAAGAATGTAAGCTGCACAATCCTAGCGACACCGGAATGCTCTTGGTTCCTTTCTGCAAAATGCAATCCAATTGTGACTGTATTCTTCAAGCTTTTCAATCACGATTTTAATGTATTTTTTTTTGTATCTGTGTTCCAGGTGGTGCAGCCATCCCCGGCGAACGAAAATAAATGCCGCTACCATCTCCGTTCATCAGTGCCGAATTTTTCAACGATCCCAAGTTCGTCGAACATTCATCACGCCGCGCGACAGAGTCGCACAAGTACGCGTACTTCATTTTCAAGTTTAAACTTCGGTTGTTTGACTTTTATTCCGTGCTAATGACCCGCCGACAATGTAGTGCAAACTCGATCCTGAACTTCGCCGTTCCAACATCGGAAAGTGTTCGCTCCTGCATATCAAACTTCGCCTAAGTCCCTTGCACGGTAGATAACTCCTCCAAGTTTTCGCACACTCCTCGCGTAATTGTATCCTGTTCTAATTACAACGCGTCGTTTACGGGTTTGATACTACCCTCGCTTGGGCGAGAAAAAAAAATTGCCGTAATTTTCCGGTTGTAGTGATTGGTGCTAAAATAAATAAACAAAAATTATCATTTTTGAGTCTGTTTTTAATTCCTGTGTAGTTTTTGTTAGGGAAATTGAGCTTTAAAAGTAAGTTAACTGTGACAAGTTGCGAGAGAAGCTACATAAATTTTTTGTGATAATTTTTGTTGGTGCGATAAATTTCGATGGGAAATTCGAGCTTTAAAACGACATTTTATTGTGAAAGAAGTGAGTTTTGATTAATTATTTGGAGGAAAATGATATAATTTTTTTGTGATAACCACCGATAAAAATAAACTTTTTGTCGAACTTTAATACTTCTACGGGTCCGAATTTGTTATCAAAAAATGTGACGTGTTGTGCGGTTATTTTGTGTTCTCTAAATTATAATCGGTAAAAATTATTCGAATTTGATCCTGAAAAAGTATGAGATTCCTACGAGATCGTACATTCTATATTGCGAGAATGGGATGGAGTCCTCGCGGAGAAGAGCACTCAGCTTGAAGTGCCGTGAAATATTTCTCTGACGGATCAAAGGCGGAAGGTTCCCGAAGCGCACGGGATATCCTAGGCCCGGGTCGCACCGACGCGTTCTCTTGCGACGTAGAACCGCGCGGGATGCCGCCCCGCGTTCCGAGTCGGAGTCCCGGATGAACGTGTGAGCGGACCCTGAGAAAATGTGATGGAAACGCACAGTCACGCTGAAGGAGAGACCAACGTCCATGCCGTAAGTTTCCGTCGATTTTTTATTTGTCGATCCTGAATGCACCCAAAAGAAAATCGATTAGAGTCGATCACCTTCATTTCTCCACATTTTCCGGCATTCTTCACACACACCATGTCCGTATCACACCAATGAACGTGCACTGGAAAAAAATTCTCGGCGTTTTTACCAAGGTCCCTTGGTACCTTTACAATCTCACTTTTTTTTACCAATTATTGGTAATTTTATCAAGACAGACCGATAAGCTTACCTAAAAACCGGTATTTTTACTGTTTTTTCAGGTAAGAATACCACTTTTATTGGTAATCAATTCCCGGTAACTTTGCCATTTTATCTCGGTAATTCTACCACAGTCGATAAAAAATATTGGCGTTTTTACCAAGGTCCAGTAAAATCACCGAGAAAGTTCAATAATTTTACTGAGATTTCTCGGTAAAATTACCAATTCCGTAAATGGTAATTTTACCAAGATAAACTGGGATCAAATAGAACCCTGAATTCTTGGTAATTTTACCCTTTTCTTAGTAAATACACAGAGATTTTTTAATTCTTGCATCTTTGAAAGGGACTAGTGCATTTAGTTCGCATGAATTTCCGTAGATTTTTCAAAAGCCCTCACATAGTCCCCTCTTGGTGTGCCGGATGACCGGCGCCAAAAAATCTATATTGTTGTGCTCAACATACCCTGGGTTCGTTTTATCAAAAGCCTTACGTTTTACTACCATAGAGTACGGTACTTTCCACTATAATGTGACATAAATTCAGCGCTTGTTTTCCTTCGAAAAGGCCTGCGGATATGAGTAACCAATGGAGAATTGCACAACATTCTTTTGTCGATTCGTCTACAATTGCTTAAGGAGCTGATTTTGCAGTATTTTTTTAAACTTTTCTCCGATATGGGAAACAGTATAGAAATAGATTTAAAAAAGAGAAAATGCATCGCCTAGTGACAACATCTGGCGAAGTTTCTCATTTAAACATGGATTACATATTGCAGTAAGGAACCACGATCGCTGGCTTTTCCATTAAAGCACATACCTGCATAGGGAAACCAATGGTATGTGTGTTATTTCTAAAATGGGCCAGATATAGTGGTTCCTTGTTGCAAAATGTAATCCACATATAATTTAGCAGATTACATCATTTATAACTGTTCAATTTGTGAACCAAGCGTATCCTCGTGTTGAGCCCACTCAGTAGTTTCCACTTAAACACAAAATGTTTCAAAATTCAGACATCTGTAAATTCTCCATTTAGGCGAAAGTCTGTATTAACTCAACAAAGCACCCCGCCCTCTCCTTTTTCAATAAAAGAAAAAGAGGTAAATCTCGAAAATGTATAAAGCGGCATGGCAGCATGGCCTGGAAGGAGCCTTCTTCGACATAACCGAATGGAAGCATTTATGCTGAGGACCTCTGAGTTTCTTTTTCTTCATCATAAACCCACCCCTTCCTCCCTGGGGCCTTTAATTCTTGTTTTTCTTGGTCAGAGCGCACATAAACTAGCCGTGCACTGCTGTAAAAAGTCGGTCTTTTGTCTGAATGACTAATATTTAACGACGCCTGCACAATATTAGCCGCGGGTCCCGGGAGCTCGAGTATTTTTATCGCACATCAACCGTTAGCGTAATCTATTTCTCGAGCATCTTTAGAGCGTTTCCGGGCCGGGGTGAACATTTATTAAGCAGTTGAAGTTGTAACTGAAATAAAGATCGAGTCAAGGTTGCCAATCATCCCGTCCAAGTTCACGTTATCAAAATTCCTCCCGATCTACGAGCATATCGTCATGTTCTGAACGGAGGAGAGTAACTCTATTCCAAGGTTGCAGAATTGACTCAAACAATTCAACTGTTAACAAGAACGTACTTGTGCAATTTTTGTCCATTTGTCTGATTTTTGCATGAGCAGGGTGTCTACAAGTCCGGAATTTCCGGAAATAGTACTGATTTTTTAAGGGTGGCCCGGAAGTACTGAACAAGTGTGGACATCCCGCAAAAAGGTCCGGAATTTTTTTAAATTTGTTGTCATTTTTGTCGCAATTTATAATTTTTTGAAATTTTTCGAATTTCGTTAAATGAAGGTACCGAAATAGTACGGAATTTTTCTGTTGGAGGAGGTACTGAATTCTTGATAAGGTACTGAAAAAGTACTGTAAAAGTTTCACGTTCCACATTTTGAAAGCAATACCTCGACTATTCAACCGCGCGTTTACGCTCGTAGATAAGTTGTTGGAATTGAAGCGAAGGGCACATTAGCGGTCTCTCAAAATATAAAAGTCATTTATGGGAATCAATATTAATATCTGCTCAATGATCTCTGGTGAGAGATGTGTGAAGCGGCAGCTTTGACGGGTCCCGCCGACGGATGCGGAGCAGCGTTGATCCAGGCGCTTGGAAGCAACTATTCGTGTTCAGCGGTTGTCCGCATTGCATATTCAAAAATTTGAAGGCGCTTTGAGTTTCCTCACGCTGCGCTGTGAACGATGCAATCACCGCATTCTCACACACGGGCTATTTTATACGTGATGTCACCTAGGAGATGAGCTCAACTGAGACAAACATTTCAATAAGCTGATTGTAAACAAGTGATATAGCCGAATGAGTGGGGGGAAAAAAAAATCATACACAAATTACGCTTAATACTTGTTTCGGTAAAATCATACAAAAGACACGTCCTGCACTTCAAAAAGTACAAAATACACTCCAAAGAGCATACTTAGCGCTCTCCATACCACGCATTTTTATATTTACTGCGTTTGCAGCACTTCACCAGAGGTCACCGGCAATCAGGTTCATCTTGAAAGAAATGTAAGAAATCCTGCCCTAATTAAACATACTATCTCACAAACTGTTATACATCTCTCTCGCTCTTTCCAATTGTTTTTCAAAGTATTTCTTTCACTCTTTCTCATATACAAAGAGCGAAAATGATTTTTTAAGGAGCACAAAGCATATGTCAGATGCGTTCCAGAGGTAATTTGCTCATTTGAAATAGGTTTTCATCCGTATTTCTCTAGGTAAAGGTAAACCTACCTGCCGGTGACTGCAACAGAATACCTTTATGCGTGGTATAGATCATGAAAATAAAAACTGCTTAATGGTCTAAAAGTTGCACGTAAAAAGCCACAAGTATACTCTCAAATGAAACCACAGGGCTGTAAATATTCAACCCTTTAAAAAATGAATATTTTCTATAAAATCATTCTTACGCAAGTGTGACTTCTTGACAATGAAAGAGGGTGTTGCTCTGGCTTTGTTGGCTTTGATCCAGTTTTAGGGTGAGTTCACCGAGACAAACAAACCGTTGGCAGCACTGTTCTTTTCATTACATGTTGATTTTACGAGATACCTACGTTTAATAAGTAGTCATTAGACGATAAAATGAAATTCCTGGACCATAAAACGGCAGCTATTGTTTGATGAGCGATAGCTCCATAGCTCCTCACTCGCAGAGGGCAAGTTTAGTGGATAGTGCTCGTTACCTCTGACCTATGAGGCTCATTTTTTCTTCAGAAGTTCTTGAAAGCTCCGCCCTTTAAGATGCGTTCATTCTATCTCCAGCTCTAAGAATAGAGCTTTACAGGGTTTGTTAAATTTAGATATTCCGAATTGATGCCTTGAAAGCATGACATCATCCCACTCCCCTTTTCAGTGTTCTATTGTGTTTGATGGAGTCAAAGGAGAGACTTGGGCCAAAATTTTACGAAGCGTATTGAAACTCCCTTGATTTGAAATCTCTTTGAAATTGCCTTCAGAGGCGATTTTCGTAAGTTGGCAACGCACTGTGTTTCCTTCATTTAACTCGCCTAGTACAACAAATCAATTTTCTAGGATTTGTACACGGAGAATAAAACTTCGTGCGTGGGACCCGAAGTTTAGGTCGTATGGATCTCTGAAGTTTTCGGATTGAGCATCTGAACACTTTAGATCTAGCTGTCGAGGTTCGGATCACACATCTGAAACTTCAGCTCTTACATCTAAAGTACTTCAGATGTGAGAACCGAAGTTTTTCGGATGTGAGAACCGAAGTTTTCCGGATGTGAAAACCGAAGTACTTCAGATGTAACAACTGAAGTTTCAGATGTGTGATCCGAACCTCGGAAGCTCGATCTAAAGTGTTCAGATGCTCAATCTGAAAACTGTAGGGATCCATATGACCTAAACTTCGGGTCCCACGCACGAGTTTTTTTTTCTCCGTGTAGATATCGATTATGTAACAAGATGGTAAAATAGTGCAGTGTCACACTATTTCGAGGGGCAAACAAGGCCAAACAGCTCACAAACTTGAATTATAGTAAAAGAATGTCGAGCCCTTAGTCTTGTACTGGTACTAATTAGAGCTAAAAATTTTTTTTACCACAATCGAAATTTTTGAATTCTTTGCCCTTCTTTTCCTTACAAAATAGTGTGGATCCAGCACTATTTTACCACCTTGTTGCATACATTTGAGGCTACGCCACATTTCTTAGTGTGATTTTTTTCCTCGTTTGTTCGCAAAGTTCGAATGATCTCCTTTTTATTTCACAATTCCGAATAATTATTTGACCGTTTCCTAAAATAATCTCCCAAAATTTCAGCGCAAAAATTCTCAATTTATTATGATGTCCACAAAAAAGAAACAGAAGCAGATATTTTGAAATTCCGCAACCGAGCTACATATTTTCCGAATTTCACCATCACGGAAGTCTGAATTTTTTGGACGAGAATTCCCTTCAAGCATGAACCACTGCTAATTTGCCAAGGATGATCATCCTATGAGCATTCGAATGTTGCCACATTTATTTTAAAAGAAGCATTTATCATTAAATAAATTAGTGAATATGTTCCCTTGGCATTTCCAAAAACATCAGATCAACTCGAGGATAAAATCCTTGGAAGTGTTCCTGGAAGAAAATTCACAAGTTTTCGAGAAAATATCTATTTTCAAAAAAATAAAGTTCGCTTCATCTTAATGTTCATACGGCGTTTTTCCTCAGCACCGCACCATACCGCAGACTCCCTGTCG